TACTTTTATAACACACGCTATATTCACAGGGATTCACACACTTTACTTACGGCTTGACTCGATTATCTCTATCTTCAATCTCTCTATTTATATTTCCGCTTTATTTGTCGGGCTTATATACTAAACAAGAGGGCGCATGGAACAGACGAGAGTTGCCAGGACAGTTCAAGATCCTTTGAGAATCTTATGACGTGTTACCAGCGTCACGTGACTTCCGCTGTAGTAACAATATGAAACCCGAGTGATTTCGAAAAGCGGGCCTTTCATCATCAGAGGGCAAACTGGGAATAACTAAGGAGAGTGAAGTGTGAGAAATGATGGAGTAACGTCATGGCAGACTGCCATGATAATCTGGAAGTGTTTTGTTTAGGTTTCAAAGAATTGTTGCTGTCTGAGTCAACTTCTTTGTACAATACGAAAGGAAATTAGAACGTTAGATATAAAGAGGTTATTGTTCTTTTTATGTCAATTGAAATTATATTGAGTATAGATAAAGTCAAAATAAAGATGGGATAAGAAGATCCAGTAACAATAAAATGTTAAGTGTTTACAACTAAAACGCGGAAGTTGTCGTAAATAAATGATAATACTAAGAAAGATTGGGATTAAAAATAAAAAAAAATATTTACACAACACGTGGGAAAGGATAAAAGCTTTTATTTATCAGACAGGGGACAAATTAATGGTCAAAGATCAGTGCTTCCACTATCTATCTTTCTTTTGCAACGTTGTAGATTATTTAATATGGCCATCCAATAGGTTTGACTTTTGAAACCGGTCTCAATATCTATAAGAATCACATTGATAGAGTGGCCAGGTTGTTTGAAGTGTTGGGTAACAAAGAAATCTTTTTTTTTGGTGTTAATAGAAGACTTGTGGCTGTTGAAACGTTCTCTTAAAGTCGTTTGGGCATGTCCTACATACTGGTGATTGCATTTTTTACACTGTATGAGGTGAATGGTATTGTATGTTGTGCAAGTAATTTCTTTAATCATTTTAAAGTTGTCTTGGTCATATTTATCGGTAAAAAAGTATAAGGGAAAAAATATCGCTAAATAAAAAAGCTATGTAGTGCTGGCTGCTGAACTTGAAGAAAAAGGAACCAAACAAGATAGGGATGGAAGTGGGCATATCACTTGATCTGGGTAATGATCACATAGCAGACTAAGCTGTCTCGACTTTACATAGAGAATAAAATCCTACATTACTGGCTTGGTGTTTCAACAGAGTCTCAGCTTTCATCATTATATTCAATAATATGTCTACCACATTACAACTGCCGTATCTAGTGTCGACGAGGCCTTTCGCCAGTGGCGGATTGTCTCACTGGGATACTGGGTAATTGCCCGGTGGGTCAGTGCGTTTGGCGCATTCTTAGAAATTGATTTTAAAGTGTAATTGTTTAGCCAGTATGCAGCATGTGATATTGCCCGAGCTGGTCCTTTATTACTAATCCGCCCCTGCCTTTCGCCCAATATCAGGGCTCATCAGGCTCGATAGGATACACTTCTATTAACTAAAGTACATGAAAAAGTTGAGGGTTTTTTTTTCTGTTTGTTTGAAGTTAATCACAAAGCTACACAATAGGCTATCTGTGCTCTGCCCACCACGGGTATCGAAACCCGGTTTCTAGGGTTGTATATCTGCAGACATGCCGCTGTGCCACTGGGGGGGGGGGGGAAGTTGAGGGTTTGGTTTTTTGTACATTTAACATTATGATAAACGAGGGCCCTCTCAGAGGTTCAGAGAGGCCCGGGCCACTTCTATCTTTTGAAGCCCCTGGCTGTAATAAAAATAAAAAGATTATGACACATGAAAACAAAATAAAACAATTACTAGCCCAAAAGAAAAGTGAAACATAATTTGTATATATAATTTTCAGCTCTAAGTTGATTGGGAGGCACTTAATAACTGCAAAAAATAAGAAATGTATAAATTTGAGGCCCCCTTTCAGCTTGAGGCCCGGGCCAAATGGCCCTCCTGGCCCACCCCCTAATTGGCCCTAGATAAACGACACAATAAAACTTTACGTACGTTAGTTACATGGCTACTGTTGCGTTAGCTAAGGTAGTTAATTAAGATAACGTGAGTGATAAGCAGTAGTTTATAAAGCAATCCCGTGCTTCAATACCTGCAATCTTTCTTCTCCTGAAGCACTGTTGAGACGGTAACAACAACAATGAAACAACTGTATCGAATAACAAATTTTCTCCTAATTTCTTTCCTTATTTTTCACAGAAATTTCGTGTTATCAGAAAAATATGAATCACCATACGTCAACATTTTTTCTTTAGGCTTCGAACAATATTTAAAGAATTTTCACCTCTTCTACAACAAAACTTTGACTGAAATGACTCGAATTTTGTCCACTCCTCAGATCCCTGAAAGGTACTGGGATGGCTTAGTTCATCCACCAGATGGCATGGTAAGTTCATCTTGAATACACTGAAGTCTGTATAGTTTGTTTGTTTGTAATTAAGCACAAAGCTACACAATGGGCTATTTGTGCTCTGCCCACCACGGGTATCGAAACCCCGATTTTAGCGTTATAAGTCCGCAGACATACCGCTGTGCCACTTGGGGGGGGGGGTGTTTTGTTGTTAAGGGTTATCTATGCTCTGCCCACTACAGGTATCGAAATCCGATTTTTAACATGAAAAGCTCTTAGACTTTCCACTGAGCACCGGAGATCGAACTGTGGATTTCAGTGTTTTCGATACTTTATAATAAAACACTGTACACAATTTACTTTGTTTAATAAGGCACACTAGAAAAATATAAATACTAAAATAATTATCGATCAACAAATTTATTTTCCAAGTTATTGTTTTATCACCTATCCCATGAAAACTGTATATATTACAAAATCAGTAATTTTTTTAGGTGTTTGTCTTATTAGAATATTAAAGCAATAATTTAGGATACATTATAGCTCTTGCATGGTTACAAAACGTTTCCGGCTGTTTTAAGTATCTTTGTAGTGAGTGAAATATTTCACTGAAATCATCAAATATCTTGACGAATGTAATCAAATAAATAAGAATCTTCTAGAAGCTAACTCCTCGTGAAAAAGGATGATTTATTAAGCCTAAGTATCATGCTAGTGGATTAAACAAATAACTAGTATTTATGTGTTCCGTAAGTAACTTATATTTCATTATTCTTTTAATGTTTCTTTTATCAAAACAGTTGGGCCAAATTTCTTTTTGCCTAACAACAAATAAACAAACGTCCATTAGTATTAGGAAAACGTGAAACATACTGAACCTAGAAAGGAATCTCTTTGACAATTCCTAAGATATTTACTCAGGAGAGGTATAGTAGTGACAAATCATGTTAGTTTTAACTCTATGCTACTTGCTGAACTTCTGACGTATAAGAGGTCTAACCAGCTTGGCACTTACAAAGTCATGATTTGTTTGTTTGTTTTGAATTTCGCGCAAAGCTACACGAGGGCTATCTGCGCTAGCCGTCCCTAATTTAGCAGTGACTAGAGGGAAGGCAGCTAGTCATCACCACCAACCGCCAAATCTTGGGCTACACTTTTACCAACGAATAGTGGGATTGACCGTCACATTATAATGCCCCCACGGCTGAAAGGACGAGCATGTTTGGTGTGACGGGGATTCGAACCCGCGACCCGCAGACTGCGAGTCGAGTGCCCTAACCACCTGGCCATGTCGGGCCTGTTGGCACTTAGAAAGTCACGATTCTTGACCACTTGCTACCTCGATAATGACTTATGGCCAGCTAGTAGGCTATAACTATAACTATGATGAAAGACTGTTACTCTTAACTGACGGATACTCTAATTGAACTAGGGGTATTGAACCATCTTTCTCACGACCCCAAACTAAAGAGCATGATTTTTGTAACAATGAGACACAAAATCTGGACCCTCAAGTTCAAAGTCCAGCATACACTACTAAGGCCATATAATTATATGTTTTTTATTTATTTTTCAGTGCTGTATTTAAATATGTGATATTTAGTTTCATTTATAGATTTTGGCCGGGTGCAGCCTTTGGTTAACATGCTGGATTATGGATCGAACAGTCAAATTTTCGAGACACGATGTTGCCCAACACACAATTTGATATATGAGTGCATTATAAAAGTGGTATTTAATACAGTCATTTGATTCAAAGAATTTGACAGAGCCCTTGTGGCGGCGGGTACTACTGGCTGACTACCTTCGGTATGGACAGTAATACAAAATGATGGCAACCATACCTAAATTTATAGTCAAAGGCACTCAAGGTTTCTTTGTTGTTGTTTTTGTTGGATGTTGCGCAAAGCTACTTGAAGGATATCTGCATTAATCGTTTCTCATTAAAGCAACAGACTAGAGCGAAGGCAACTAGTCAGTACCACCCACCGCCAGCTTTTGGGCTACTCCATAGGGGCGTTATAATGTGACGGTCAATCCCACTATTCGTTGGTAAAAGAGTAGCCCAAGAGTTTGTGGTGTGTGGCGATGACTAGCTGCCTTCCCTCTAGTCTTACACTGCTAAATTAGGGACGGCTAGCGCAGATGGCCCTCGTGTAGCTTTGCGCGAAATTCAGAAAACAAACAAACCCAGTAATTGATATGATTGATAAGGGATACCTCTGGTTGTGACAGAAGAAACTAAATTCATTAAGAAACTTGACAAGCTCAGTTTTAGTATAACTTATTTAATCTTTTTAATACATTAAACGGAAGAAGCTGTCAGTGTTTGTTTGTAATTAAGCACGAAGCTACACAATGGGCTATCTGTGCTCTGCCCAACACGGGTATCGAAACCCGGATTCTAGCGTTGTAAGTACGCAGACATACCGCTGTGCCACTGGGGGGCGAAGCTGTCAGAAGTCTTTATATTCGAGAAATTAGTTTCGACAAATGTATGTGTCTTCTTCAATTTCACCTTGTCTTCTAACTAGAAAACAGGCCCGGCACGGCCAGGTGGTTAGGGCCCCGGCATGGCCAGGTGGTTAGGGCACTCGACTCGCAATCTGCGGGTCGTGGGTTAGAATCCCTGTCACACCAAACATGCCGTAGGGGTGTTATGAAGTGACGGTCAATCCCACTATTCGTTGGTAAAAGAGTTAGAATCCCCGTCACACCAAACATGCTCGCCCTTTCAGGCGTGGGGGCGTTATATGTGACGGTCAACCCCACTATTCGTTGGTAAAAGAGTTAGAATCCCCGTCACACTAAACATGCTCGCCCTTTCAGCCGTAGGAGCGTTATAAAGCGACGGTCAATCCCACTATTCGTTGGTAAAAGAGTAGCCAAAGAGTTGGCGGTGGGTGGTGATGACTAGCTGCCTTCCCTCTAGTCTTACACTGCTAAATTGGGACGGCTAGCGCAGATAGCCCTCGTGTAGCTTTGTGCGAAATTCAAAACACTAGAAAACTGATCAACAACGCCTAGGCGAGAATGGAGAGGGCACACACGAATGTGTCAAAACAAGCTTCTATTTAATCAATACTTCTTACAGTTTGTTCCGTCTATTGTGGTTTTTGTTTTCTAACTGTTATACGTGATATTGCGTTCTTTTATTATTATCGGTACATATTTATGTCTCACCAGCCTTCTAGATGTGTTTATATTATTTTTATGGTGTTCAAACAGCTGAACAAAGATAAAATCCTTGGCTTTTCATGGGCTAACTGTGGTTCACCCGACGATCCAGTCCAAGTAAAATCATTATCTATTTCGCCGGATCCCATCCGAGTTCCTGGTGTCTTAACTGTTGGATTTGACATCCTTACGCTTCTGAACATAACGTCACCTCAGGTAAGTTATCTGTCAATTGTGCATGTTTCGTTTAGATAGATAACTCATTTAATTAAAAACATATCTACTCGGTTTTAAAATGTTACCAGTGATATTGTGGTGTTCTCGGGATTTTTCTCTAATTAGAGACATAATGCTCATTGTTTACGATCGTTGTGTCCATTGTTTCAAGTATGAATGTATCATAGCATGTAGCAATATCTGTTACCGATATTTTAAACTAACTACCCAGTAAGGTTACCCTCATGATTTTAATAGAGCAGTTGTTACTTCTTAAACTACAATTTATATTGTTAAGTTACAAGGCAGATATGAAATTTGTCGTCTTTGAATAACGTAAGTAACTCCAATTCCACAAACCTTATTTGGCAATATATATATAATTTGAAGTAAATTCGTCACCTAATAAGTTATTACAAAGGATGACATATCACTTTTTGCCTGCTTGCTTATTTTCAGTTACTGTGTTGTTGCCGAAGGCGTCATCAGGGCTACATAGTATTGTATCAACGCGTTTCCGAACAAGCCAATGATAACAGTTTTGAGTCACATAATGGCTTCTACACATTATGGCCCTGAAGAATGGCATCCAACAAAGCCATACCGTATTGAATTCAACGCGTTGTTGAAGATACGTAGCTCAACGTGTTGTCGAAATAGCCAATAGGACAATCTTACTGAATTATTTTAAGCATATTATTTGTTTAGCTAAAATTAGAAGAGACTTATTGATTATTTAGACAATGCGTTGAGTCAATACATCTACAAGGCCATAACGCGCGTTGATCCAACGTGTAGCTAAATGTTCAGCAACGCGTCAAACCAATACATTATGGACCCGATGGCTTGTTATCTTGAAATAGACAGCATTATCTATTTCCAGTAGAATTGAAAATTGAATAGTACCCAATATCGATTTATATTTACGTTTTGTTAACAATTGGATATCGATTTACATTCAGGTTTTGTTAACAATCGAATATCGATTTATATTCAGGTTTTGTTAACAATTAGATATCAAATTATATTCAGGTTTTGTTAACAATTGAATATCGATTTACATTCAGGTTTTGTTAACAATTGGATATCAAATCATATTCGTTTATTGTCAGCTATTTTATAGTTAGTTACAATAAAGACACAAAGCTATAATGGCTGAATATATATAAAACTACCAAAGTATTGAGAACAGTGTTTGTTGAAGGAAAATAATAAGACTAAATTAACAGGAAAATTGTAACAATAATCAGAAATGCATGAAGAAAATAATTAATCTTTAAAAAAATGCTTTGACAATTCAATAACAAGAAATGAGTTGCTACATTCAAGCATATCACAGTCCAACATGTAATTCAACCCATTTAAAGTGTGTGAATTGTCAACAAAACGTAAATATAAATCGATATTCAATTGTTAGCAAAGCCTGAATATAATTTGATATCCAGTTGTTAGCAAAGCCTGAATATAATTTGATTTCCAATTGTTAACAAAACCTAAATATAAATCGATATTCAATTGTTAGCAAAGCCTGAATATAATTTGATATCCAGTTGTTAGCAAAGCCTGAGTATGAATTGACATTCAGTTGTTAGCAAAGCCTGAATATAATTTGATTTCCAATTGTTAACAAAACCTAAATATAAATCGATATTCAATTGTTAGCAAAGCCTGAATATAATTTGATATCCAGTTGTTAGCAAAGCCTGAGTATAAATCGATATTCAATTGTTAGCAAAGCCTGAATATAATTTGATATCCAGTTGTTAGCAAAGCCTGAGTATGAATTGACATTCAGTTGTTAGCAAAGCCTGAATATAATTTTATATCCAATTGTTAGCAAAGCCTGAATATAATTTGATATCCAATTGTTAGCAATACCTATTTATTATTTTTATTTCAGGTTGATCTTGTTCTACAGAAGAAGGTTTTATTTTTCTGGATTAAGGTACCTTGTCTGAACGGTTTTGGTTCCTGCTCCTACCCAGACGCATGCACATTAATTCCCAAGCCTTGTCCGGAAGAAATTAAGAAAAGAAAACTACCTTGTGACTGTCCCGTGACAAAAGTAGGTACAGCTGTCTGAAAGAACGGTTCTATTGGCTTTAATGGACTGCACCAGTTTGTGTATCGAATGGGATGAAGAAGGCCTCTGTATAGACAGCGAAACGTTGCCACGTTCTAGATTCAACCCGTTTAGGCTGCACCTGTTTTTAGAGTGAAACAAAGTTTCGGTTTATGTGTTGTAGAAGGCCTCGTAACTAAAACACAAGCAGCAACAGTTCATTAAAGTCAAAAACTCCAAACGTCAGCTGGAATATATGCCTTACGAAGAATTAAAGTAACGTTATTGTTTTGTCAAAAAAACAGGAAGAACAGAATCCTTCAAAATATGATTTGGTAGTTTATGTCTGAAGATCACAAATAAAACGTTTACCTGTGAAACTTCATTTTCCTGTAATTCAAAAGCAAAGAAAGACAATTAAGAAACGCATCAAATTATTCTCAAAACCAACAACAACAAAAAAAGAGGTACCTGGTTATGGTTACCATATTTTGAAAGATTCTGTTAACTATATGCCTTAAAGGGATTTTCGAAATTAGGAATTTTTATTCAAAATTTATAAATCTGGAAGATCTTTATTGACATTTTTTCAAATTTAGGCTTGTTTGTTAAGCACAAAACTACACGATGGGCTATCTGTTGTGCCCACCACTAGTATCGAGACCCTATTTTCTATCGCTAACGTCCTCCAATAGATCAACTGTAGGATTACAACTTACAACGCTAAAATCTGGAGTTTAAATCCCCGCCGTGGATACAGGAGATAGCCCCATGTAGTTTTGCTTTAAAAAACAAACAAACACTATCAAACTGGTGTATTTAAGTGTTTTACATTCACAAAAAAAGAAACCCATCATTATATAGGTATTTGAAGAACTTGTAGCATTCCGCCACAGTTTAATTCTTCGTATTGTTAGCCGGTACCTCACTACTATAAAGGCTTGGTTTGGTCTGATATTTCATTGGTGGTAGTGTCCAGGGTCACTGATGAGGATTGGAATTCTCCGAAACTAGCCTGGCTCACAGACACCCCCCCCCCATGAAAAAATTGTCCATTCCAAGCTTTTACTTGTTGTTAAACAAATTTGTTTGTTTGTTTTTAATTATGCGCAAAGCTACACAAGGGCTATCTGTGCTCTGCCCACCACGGGTATCGAAACCTGGTTTCTAGCGTTGTAAGTCCACAGACATACCGCTGTGCCACTGGGGGGCAGCAGCTAGTGATCACAAGGTCACTGAAGCAATATGATTTCGAGCAATTTACTCAACAAGAGGAGTTAACGTCAATGAGGAATGTCTGATACTATCATCAAAGTATAGAAGGGTTTTACCAGACATTGGCATCTGGTTTGTTTGTAATTAAGCACAAAGCTACACAATGGGCTTTCTGTGCTCTGCCCACCACGGGAATCGAAACCCGGATTCTAGCGTTGTAAGTCCGCAGACATACCGCTGTGCCACTGGGAGGCTTGGCATCTGGATGTAAAGAGTTGCTACCAACATTGTAAAGGGTGTGCTTGCCAGAGAAAGTATTGTTTACACAAGAAAAAAAAGTACAACAGGGAATTTTGTGTTCTCTGCTCCAATAGATGACAATAGAGTCCAAGGAGCAAACTGATAAAACACAGAGTAGGTGAACAGGATGAAAATTTCCTTGTAAAATCACTAGCTCTGCAACTTTATCACAACCAGACCATAAAATACGTCTGAAGAGCTACTGATGTCACAACTGACTTAAAATTTTGACCAGAGTCAGCCTCAATGCATTATCACTTACTGGATGGAGGCTTGGATTCTGATACTCCGAAAATTTAGCAATGAAGCTGCCAGAACTCAGGAGAAGATGTTTCAAAGATTACCAAAACTGTGCATAGGTAACCTGACATAAATGTGGCATTAGCTTTCAGTGAAACAGAGACATTGTCTGGTGAATTTTTGAGGAAGACCAGAAATGAAAATTGTCACTGTGGAGAATCTTTTCTCCAGTGTCAAATAAGGTCCGCACGAGAGGATAACATGGAACTATACGTACATTCTTCTTATTTTTTCATACATAGTTATCCGGTTTCTTTAATTTTAAATTGCTACACCTGTGTTTATTTTTTCTTTAAATCTTTATCACATGTTTGTAACTTGTGCAATAAAGTTTCTGTTAATAATTTATTTTTTCTTGGCTTGTTATTCAATTTTGGATTTATTTACGCCCTGTTAATTGACTTCACTCAATACGCCTGATATACATCAAGATTCGCTTTGCTCTTCCAGATCCCTCTAGAAACCCCATCTTATACCACTGTATAATTACAGGCGCATATCATTGTAGCACTAAATCCATGATTATTTTAATAAACCGCCATATAGTATTAATAGACTGCTATGTCTTCCAAGATGGGGGAGCAAAAACAATCCATTTCCCCTAATTTATACTTGCCAGAGCTGTGGAAGTCACCAATTGTCATATATATCGTCCTGCACTTACTGTGGCATAAGCTACTCCTGTCTCAGGAAGAATAATACAACTCTACATCCAGTAACGTAGTAAGCCTCAGTTAAAAACTCTTCTCGCTCATTCCTTGTGTGTATTTTAAGGGCATCTCCTGTTGAAATGTTAGTGCAGCTATAACATTTAGGTATTGAACCATAAGGTATTGTGGTGAGTGCAACAGTAGAGTTTTAAGTTAGTATTTTTTTCAACTGTTGAGGGATATTAAAGGTTTCTCAAACTGTTCAAGAAAAGAATCAGCTACAATAGAAACTGCTTTTGTCTTTTTCTTATATTCCAGAATCCATTTTGATATGATCAACCTTAACTATGCCACTACAGAAATAGTCTTTGTCAGTGATTCAATAAATATTCTTGTGGTGCCCCATAGTTTTACTCTAGGTGTCGTGCCACATAGATACCATCTTAGTTAATCTCAAAACACCCAAGCTGGTCATCACCATTATGACCTATTCCTACTGCCATTTGTTCTTGTATGTGGAAAATAACCAATAACTCTTCAAAACAAATCCTTTGTCGTGTTACTGAAAACGTAACCTCACAAAGTTACACTTCATGTGTAGTGTCCTAAGGTGTTCTTGGTCAACAGGTAAGAACTAAATATTTCAGTATGGAAGGTTAGAAGAAAAGGAAATTCTTGCAGAGAAATGAAATGAAAATAAAGAGCAAAGAAAAAACCCAAAAATAAAAGTAACACAAAGAAATAAGATCTGCCACACAAGGGCCAGTTGTAATTTCCTATCATTAGGTATTAAACAATCATGCTAGCCAGCTTTTTTGTCCCAAACACTGGATATATCTAGATGTTATATCTGAATGGAAAACATACTCTTGGTGAAGATAGGAGAGATTGCGTTAATACCAAACTTGTCTACATTTGTCAGGTTTTGTTTTTGATGAATTATTCATCAACACTGGATATATCTAGATGTTATATCTGAATGGAAAACATACTCTTGGTGAAGATAGGAGAGATTGCGTTAATACCAAACTTGTCTACATTTGTCAGGTTTTGTTTTTGATGAATTATTCATCTTAATTACTATAGACATCATACCGAAAGACTAATCATTTTATCAACAAAAGTATGAATATTCGTCTTAAGATAACACTGAAAAGTATAAATATATTCAGCAGTTTAGATATAAGAAGACCAGGTAACGACGTCTTAATATCATCTGTTCATTTCAGTTAGAAACAAGCTTGAGTTGTGATTGGTAGCTGGCACGCATGCGCTTTAAGAAAATAATATAAATTTGGAGTTGGACAAATTTTGTATTGATAACTGAAGAGATACTTCCCCATCTGAGGATAAAAAGTTCTTTCGTTCCGCAAGCACACAAAACAAATATGAATTTTCTTATTATTTTTGGGCCTACTCCGTTTTTTTTGGTTATAGATATCCAAAAGAAGAAAGTACATTGCAAAGATAACACATAAAAATACTATATGCTTTTATCAACTTAATACCTTTTATATATAGTTAATACAGCTAAAGCATGTGAAGGATTTCAAACAGATATTACAACGTCATTGTTCTTCGTTACATAAGTTCCTCAAAGCCTAGTCTGAGACCCGAGATAGAAGAAAGAGCATTCGAGGCTTTCAGAATGTCGTCCATTTCTTCAACGTCATCAGATATTGGTGATAATATCATGTAGTTTAATATATAAATGTGAAAACTTTATCGTCAAACTATTTCTTGTATATCTTAAATGGATTAAACTTAGACTTACGATGCTCTGATCTTAAAGAATTTTGTATCGTATTACAAGTTATAAAGTAATAGCTTCACACTTGTAAAAGAGATTTAAAAATGGCACAGCTATTTAGACAAGCACCCTTTCTTTTTTTTTAGTTTTTCTTAAGAATTAACTAAAACAAATATTAATTTCTGAATAAATTGAGACACTTTAAACTGAAGTATTGAGGAAATATCGTTTCCATTATTTTTCTAAGTTTGAAAACATTTTATCGTAAACAATATGAAAATCTGTGTCACTATTATCTTGTTGATGGTCTGACGATCTGTTACAGTATTTTTTTTTAATTTCGCGATGGGTTACTAGACTTTTTTTAGGTTAATCCATAATTCACTAGCGATTATCTTTAATACACTAACAGATAAATAATGTTTTAAAATCAACAATTATATGATAAAAAATGATTTACAAAAAAATATTATCATGTTTTGATATAACAGATAAGTTATTGGAAAAATATTCAAATGTTTTGATATAACAGATAAGTTATTGGAAAAATATTCGAATGAATAAGGACTATTCATCAGTACAAAACGTATACCCTCTTAAAGGCAAACCTTTTAATAAACTTGAAAAAATAAGTGTGTGTCGCCGCTTATGTTATAACCAACTAGGACTGAGTTAGAAATATCAAGAAATCCCAAGAACGGTCTAATACGCCGTAAAACCTCTTAGAAGATCGTGTCAATTTCATTTCCGATGACAAATTCCAACACGAGAATCTTCTAAACGAACCATAATGAATGTAGAGTTAAGGTTTCTTTATGAAAATCAGTAGTTTAAAATACAAAGTAACGACTACAAGTATCCCATGTTGAAAGTTCCCTGTCCTGTAATTA